TCTGTGGGATGTGTCTGGCTCTGTCTTCTCTACTAAACCCTCCCAGGAGGAGGTTGCACCAGGCAGCATCTCGTCTGTCCTGTTCTCCAGGACACTCTGCAGCCAGAACAGCCTCATGACATTCTACCTCGTGCCTTCCTTTCATAATCACTCACAGGAGTGGGGCAAAAGTGATTGAAAATCCTCTCAAAAGGGAATTTTCATCTGCAACCAGAGCTCCTGGCTGTGTCTGAGCACGTGAATATTCAAAGCAGATGCCACACACAGCTCTGCTAGGGTGAGGATCAACACCTGTGACATCTTTCAAAACAGAAATATTGAATTAAATTCAAATATCTGGAATCAGAATGACATGTTGGAGATAATTTTCTAGCTCAAAGTCTACCCCAAAATTCTAGCTTGTAATTCTAGCTCATATTATAGCCAAATTCCACCCCAAAATTCCACCCCATATGAAGTGAATCATCACTTTTTATGATCCCGCACACACCAGGACCCAGACTTTTTGCTACAACATAAAAAAAAAAAGGGGGATTATAGAAACTTCCTCCTGCAGGTGGACAGTACTGGTTGACTCAACCTGGCCAATAGGAGACCTGCCCATTCTTGGGCCATGAGGGAAATTAAGGAGGAAAAATAATAATAATAAAAAAAGATGTCTCTACTAGGGGCAACTTGATAGAAGTTTCTTAAAAGTTTGAAGTGGAGAAAGAAGGAACTGAGCAGATGCCATTAAGGGAAGTAGAAGCACAAACATGGCTGCAGGAGGAAAAAAATGGTGGGTTGGGAGGAAAACATGGGCTGAGCTTGAAGGGAAAGGTTGGGCAGAGCTCAGCAAGGAGCAGAGCAGCATTACTGGGCAGTGTTACTTGATACATCAAGAGAGCTCATTTTAAAAAAGTATTAGGAAAAGATAAATCACTGCTTGAGTTGGAAAAATAATTCAATCATCTGGCACCCGGTCAGATCCTGGAGATTTCCTGGTGTTTGGGCTCGTTGTGGCAGGTTCCTACAGGTGCAACCTCCTTTTCACACTTATTTTTTAAGCTAAGCAGATGGCTCAGAGTCCTGACTGAACCACAGGAACACAGAATGGTTTGGGTTGGAAGGAACCTTAAAGATTAAAGTTTTACCTTCCCTGCATGAGCAGGGACACCTCCCACTAGACCAGGCTGCTCCAAGCCCCATCCAACCTGGCTCTGAACACTTCCAGGGATGGGGCAGCCACAGCTTCCCTGGGCAACCACTGCAGCTGAAGGTCTGGCCTCAAAATGGAATAATCCCCCCCAGGAAATCACAGGGCTGCTCAAGGAGCCTCCACTTGGGGCTGCCAATGTGGCTCATCCCGTGCGTCCAGCCAGAAATTCCAGCACTTCCCTTATTTCTCATACACACAACTCCCTGCTGACATCTTGTCACTCTGCCAGTGCAGCAAAGGCTTGAAATTCTGTGGGTTTTATCAAAGAATAATATTCTGCTGTCCCAACCCCCCCCCTCCTTCATTCCATCTTCCACTTTTTTCAATACTTCCATTTTATTTTACTCTCTTTTTTAAAGTCTTCTCTCCACAAGGAACACAATAAATCCCACTGTGCTTTACATGCTGCCAAAAGGGGAAACCAGAATAAAAGATTTTTCTCATCCAAAAGCCAAGAATAAACTGTTTTCCTCATTCAAAAACCAAGAATAAACCATTTTCCTCACGCAGGAGCCAAGTATAAACTGTTTTCCTCATCAAAACCCAAGAACAGGCTGTTCCCCCCCACAAACACCAAAAATAAACAGTGCCCCTCATAAAACAGGAAGAATCAGCTCTTTTCCTCACCAAATAACAATAATAAACTCTTTTCCTCATCTAACACCAAGAATAAGCCTTTTTAATTCAGCAAAAGCCATGAATAAAGCCCTTAAACCTCCTTCCTCATCAAAACCCCAAGAACAAGCCCTTTCCCTCTTCAAAAAGCAAAAATAAGCTCTTGGCTTCAGGAAAACCCAATAATAAACCCCTTTTCCCCCCTCAAACCCAAGAATAAACCCCTTTTCCCCCCTCAAACCCAAGAATAAACCCCTTTATCCCCCTCAAATCCAAGATTAAACCCCTTTTTCCCCCTCAAACCCAATAATAAACCCCTTTACCCCCCTCAAACCCAATAATAAACCCCTTTACCCCCCTCAAACCCAAGAATAAACCCCTTTACCCCCCTCAAACCCAAGAATAAACCCCTTTACCCCCCTCAAACCCAAGAATAAACCCCTTTACCCCCCTCAAACCCAAGAATAAACCCCTTTACCCCCCTCAAACCCAAGAATAAACCCCTTTACCCCCCTCAAACCCAAGAATAAACCCCTTTACCCCCCTCAAACCCAAGAATAAACCCCTTTACCCCCTTCAAACCCAAGAATAAACCCTTTTTATTCCCCTCAAACCCAAGATTAAACCCCTTTTCCCCCCTCAAACCCAAGAATAAACCCCTTTACCCCCTTCAAACCCAAGAATAAACCCTTTTTATTCCCCTCAAACCCAAGATTAAACCCCTTTTCCCCCCTCAAACCCAAGAATAAACCCCTTTACCCCCTTCAAACCCAAGAATAAACCCTTTTTATTCCCCTCAAACCCAAGATTAAACCCCTTTTCCCCCCTCAAACCCAAGAATAAACCCCTTTACCCCCTTCAAACCCAAGAATAAACCCTTTTTATTCCCCTCAAACCCAAGATTAAACCCCTTTTCCCCCCTCAAACCCAAGAATAAACCCCTTTACCCCCTTCAAACCCAAGAATAAACCCTTTTTATTCCCCTCAAACCCAAGATTAAACCCCTTTTCCCCCCTCAAACCCAAGAATAAACCCCTTTACCCCCTTCAAACCCAAGAATAAACCCTTTTTATTCCCCTCAAACCCAAGATTAAACCCCTTTTCCCCCCTCAAACCCAAGAATAAACCCCTTTACCCCCTTCAAACCCAAGAATAAACCCTTTTTATTCCCCTCAAACCCAAGATTAAACCCCTTTTCCCCCCTCAAACCCAAGAATAAACCCCTTTACCCCCTTCAAACCCAAGAATAAACCCTTTTTATTCCCCTCAAACCCAAGATTAAACCCCTTTTCCCCCCTCAAACCCAAGAATAAACCCCTTTACCCCCTTCAAACCCAAGAATAAACCCTTTTTATTCCCCTCAAACCCAAGATTAAACCCCTTTTCCCCCCTCAAACCCAAGAATAAACCCCTTTACCCCCTTCAAACCCAAGAATAAACCCTTTTTATTCCCCTCAAACCCAAGATTAAACCCCTTTTCCCCCCTCAAACCCAAGAATAAACCCCTTTACCCCCTTCAAACCCAAGAATAAACCCTTTTTATTCCCCTCAAACCCAAGATTAAACCCCTTTTCCCCCCTCAAACCCAAGAATAAACCCCTTTACCCCCTTCAAACCCAAGAATAAACCCTTTTTATTCCCCTCAAACCCAAGATTAAACCCCTTTTCCCCCCTCAAACCCAAGAATAAACCCCTTTACCCCCTTCAAACCCAAGAATAAACCCTTTTTATTCCCCTCAAACCCAAGATTAAACCCCTTTTCCCCCCTCAAACCCAAGAATAAACCCCTTTACCCCCTTCAAACCCAAGAATAAACCCTTTTTATTCCCCTCAAACCCAAGATTAAACCCCTTTTCCCCCCTCAAACCCAAGAATAAACCCCTTTACCCCCTTCAAACCCAAGAATAAACCCTTTTTATTCCCCTCAAACCCGTGTCCCTACAGCCCCGTGTCCCCGTGGGCCTGTGTCCCGTGTGTCCCCACAGCCCCGTGTCCCCGTGGGTCTGTGTCCCATGCGTCCCCACAGCCCCGTGTCCCCGTGGGTTTGTGTCCTGTGTGTCACCAGAGCCCTGTGTTCCCGTGGGCCTGTGTCCCCACAGCCCCATGTCCCCATGGGCCTGTGTCCCGTGTGTCCCCACAGCCCCGTGTCCCCACAGCCCCGTGTCCCCAAAGCCCTGTGTCCCATGCCCCCATGGCCCTGGGTATCCTCATAACAGTGTGTCCCCTTGTCCCCAGAGCTCCAGGACCTCACGGCCCTGTGTCCCATGTCCC